ACAACTTTGCTGACATGTGGCCAACAGTAATGTTTTAATGTTCTTCATTATTAAACATTCGCACATAAATAAGTGACATTATATTCAGTAATTACTTTTGACAGTTCACTCTTCAGCCGCTCCCTTCTGACGTATTTTGCGGCAAAATTATCCACACCCACCGCCACGCTATGGATTGTGGATTGTGTGTGTGGATATATGGGACCACGAAGCGTGCACCGGACCACGATTGATATTTGGGGACATCGACGGCGCATTCGGAGTATGCATTTGAAGTACACTTCAAATTGGGACAGCCGTTGTCGCGTAGCGGTGACGTAATCGCACTCAGAATGCGTACTTCAAGCGTGCAGACCCTGAATTGGGACACAGCCCACAACAACACAACATCTTCTTTGCGTTTTTACTTTTGTTGTTCCCGCCTCCGAAATATCTGGGGCTTGACTTGAGTCCTTGTAAATTAAACTATTTGTCATTGTTCGGGTGAGTGGCAGTATTTTTCTACAGTGCTGTGGTCTCCACCTCTGGAGTCATCATCATCATCTCACCCAGTATCCACACCTGGTGATGATTGAGCCAGCTTTATTTAACACCAGCGCACACAACTAGCCTTCGCCAGATAGTCTGCTAACCTACCTACATCTTGATGCATGCTCAATCATTCAGTAAAGTAAATCCCCAAAGTCTGATTCTGTTCAACTGAACGTAGCGTTTTCAGAGGAAGAAACGTTTCGTCACACATCTAAGTGTCAGACTCACTCACTCATCCAAGTCCGACTGAAGAAGTAACTTGGATGAATGACAAAATGTTTCTCCCACTGAAAACACTACATCCAGATGAACAGAATCAAACTTTGGGGGTCTGCCAGCCTACGTTAGTGCTTGGCCTTTCATTCCTCTTCTCCTCTTACAGTGTCACCTAAAGACCGCTCCCTGCCTTTTCCCCCCTCCTGAGAGATATAAAAACAAAAGGCTTCACAACCAGCTGAATCCCCCCACTGTGTGTCTTCAATTGTCTCACAACGCCTAACTGTGTGCAAGTTGTAGCTGAATGCTGTCCCACACATGTACAATTAAGTGACAAAAAAGCAATATTACCATAACATGTGACCAATAGATAAAATAAAATACATTTCCATGTTTTCTCTGTGCAATCTCAGCCACAACTCATACTATGTCTGTTTCCAAACTTCACCTGCCTGCCTCTCTGCCTTCGTTATATAGAATCGCTGGATCACTCTGCCTGAAATTCGGATACTTTATCTCCAATTGATATTCAGTCTGGTACAGTACCTCCACCTAAATGTTCTTTTGGTTCCACTCTCACACTCTGGCCTACACCGCCATAACACTATCATTTTTCACAGTTTGCTCTGTTTGGCTTCTTCTTTTCCTGGTTATAACTTTGTTACTCCTCGAATCCCATAGGCCTTATTCAGGACCAGAAGAAAGCAGGTGGTGGACAAGAACCACCTCATCTGTCAGTCCAAGACATGAGTCACAAAATTCAGCAAGGAAGCAATTTTGTTTTACTCAGTGTGGTTTTAATAAGCTTTGAATACTATTTTGTCTGAACTTTTTTTTTTTTTACTGTTTTGTCATTTGTTTTCAACTTTCTCTTAAGCCAAATACTGAAAAGGCTGTACGATATAAAGCCAACAACTTTTCAGTCAATATTTTTCAATTTTATTTTTATTATCATTATTATAACAATGATTTAATCTCTTCAATTTAAGAAGTATTTATGTTCTAATTCTGTGCTGTGTTTAGTATTTCCTTGAATGTCAGTTTTTTAATACTATAGTTTTGGGGTGGGGGGGGGTCATGTTGGTTCCCCTTTCTTGTCAAATTTGCATATCTTCGGTCAGCATCTACACTCATAAATATTTTCCTTTACACTTTTGTGGCTTCAAAAAGTTGTTCAAACCTTTATGATGGAGAATACAAACTTCCTGTTCAAGTTAAAGAATGGAGAGAAGACCTGAAGTACAGCCCTACATCTTATCTTTGAATAACTGAACGCAGAGACTAAGACTGACAAACACAGGAAACACTGCGGACAACACACAGGGAAGGTAAATACTAAGAGAACTAAACCAGAACCACAACGGAAAAAATTTGTGTTTTTTTTGTCGCAATCGTCCACTGAAACCACACAGTGACTAAATTTCTACACTGTCTGTGTGTATAGAAAACAATACATGCATAGCATAACATTTTCGCTGCTGAGCAGATGAAACCCAACTTTATCTATCCATGAAACCAGACAACACACACCAGTTACTTAAAATGAAGGAATGTCTTAAAGGTATAAAGACCTGGATGACCTTTAATTTTCTGCTTCTAACTTCAGATAAAACTCATGTTTTCTTTCCTTCCCCCTTTTTTTTTTTTTTTTTCTTTTTTTTT